ATCACAAACACACAACTACAAACACAACTACAAAGAGACAATCACAAACACATAACGACAAACGCAACCACAAACACAACCACGAACACACAACCACACACACAATCAGAAACACACAATCACAAACACACAACTACCAACACAACTACAAAGAGACAATCACAAGCACATAACGACAAACACAACCACAAACACACTACCACAAACACACTACCACAAACACACTACCACAAACACACTACCACAAACACACTACCACAAACACACAACCACAAAAACACAACCACAAGCAGGCAACCACAAACACACAACCACAAACACACAACCACAAACACACAACCACAAACCCACAACCACAAACGCAACACCACAAACACAACCACAAACACACAACCACAAACACACAACCGCAACACACACAACCGCAAACACACAACCACAAACACAACCACAAACACAGCCACAAACACACAACCACAAACACAACCACAAACACACAAACACAACCACAAACACGCAACCACAAACACAACCACAAACACACAACCACGACCACAACCACAAACACAACCACAAACACACAACCACAAACACACAACCACAACCACAACCACAGCTACAAACACACAATCACAGCCACTACCAGTATCACCAATCACAAACACACAGCCACAAACGCAACCACAAACACAATCACAAACACACAGCCACAAACACAACAGCAAACACATCCACAAACACACAATTACAAACACACAGCCACAAACACACAATCACAAACACAACCACAACACAGCACACAACCCGAGGACCCACAAGCAAAATCGAGAACTACATGATAATACTCACGACCATGGCAACATGCTCCTCACTATGGCATCAAGACAAATGAGTGAAATGTCATGGTGGGGATCACTCAAAGTAAAGTAATTTGAGCGCTATAGAATCAGAGCACGGTGTGAGTGAGTTAGGGCTAGAGTTAGGGTTAGAGTTAGAGTTAGAGTTCTAGGTGGTCCAACACCCTCGGATGAGAATTCTATTGAACCAGCGTCAAGCGCGCCAGCCAAATAGGCAGGTGAAGCTCTGTAGGACTCTTTTCATTGAAGTGTGGGGTTCGACTCACGCTGTAGCCATATGGGCTTGATGAATGGTCTTTCCTTTTATGACTTGGCCGCCGCCAGTACCGCTCCCCTTTTTTGACCAGTGGCCGACTGTGGCTACAGTGCCCATGTCCTGTGTTCATAGCTAGAGTTTGCCCGAAACACCCCTCCAACCACAAGGAATTCAGCATGATCTTTGCAAAAGGGTTCTTTCAAACCATGCGCCTCCCCAAAAAACATGATGACGATGCTGTTGATGACGATGCTGGTGAGTTTCTTCACAAACATCAGGAAGAGAGAGAAGTCTTTCTCCAAAGAGTCATGAAGCCTCACCTTCCAGGACAAGAAAGACTTTGTTTTTCCTCTCCAAGCCAGATCCACGCAGTGGTTCTCAGATTCTACCGTGTCTACAGTAACCTTTCAAGAAACTGCCCTGGAGGTGAATGATGAGTTTTATCGGGATGTGGCAGAGGCTGTGTGGCTTGGAGATATCCCAGAGCGGTCCTTTGAATTGAAGCCAGAAGACGAAGGAGAGGACAGTCTTCAGAAACCAGGGAAGTCTCGAACTATCATCGAAGAATACTTAATACATATGCTGCCACCTTCACCCGCACGAACATAGCTGCCTACCAAATATTTGTGCATCAACCCGTCTTCCAACGTTCATAGAAGCAAAGTAGAAGCGTTTTGCATTGTTTTGCTTTAATAATGCGCCTCAACTACTGATCATTCGTGCGTATTGTTTTGTATATACACTATACTTGTTTATTTTGCGTCCTTCGACTTGTTTGATCCCTGCAATTAAATTATGTCAACCATCATTATGATAGTGCTTGACAGCCAAGACTGAGGTTGCACAACATATTTAATAGTTGTGCTTGCAAAAGCAACAGCAAACTGGAGGCTCGTGGTCTTCATACGTCCAATTCGTTTCTTGTCCACTTGCTAGCCTTTGCGGAACTTGCTGAGAATCTCTTTGGATGGGGGCTGCTGGGTCAGGAAGCACCGGGTGCAAAGCCGCTACCAAGCCAAAATCTAGCGTGGGAGCGTGAAGAAATTTTCGCATTCCCATAGGTCCGCTTTAAAGTTTAAAGCGTAATACACGCACCCTCGTCAAACCTATTATGTTTTTCGTTCACAGGCCCTGAGAAGGGGAAGCGCATTGACGCATTGACTACAGACACTTCACTACTCAGCCCGCAGGCCATGAGACCTATGCCAGTAAGATCCACTAAGAACATTTAAAATTGTTAGAGCGGGTGTTCGCGACAGGTCTGTATAGAACTTAGGCAAGGAAATGTTGTTTGACGGACAGAACATGCAATTTGTTTCACAGCGGGCATTGCGTTTGCGCTTGCGCCCAGCAAAAGCGTCATAAATGAAAGTGTGTAGAATTGTATTATTTGTTTCAACAATCATTACCATTTGAGCGACATTGCTCTTTTTTTTCTGCAGACATGTTTTGCCCTGGCAAGTTGCGTGGGAGTTTTGTTCTTATGTGAGTTGTGAACTGTTTGTATGTGTGGCTCGGTCACGAGACATTCGTGTTTGATAGACACATGAAATGGCCCAAAAAGCCGCTGAAGCGGCGTTAAAAAACGCTTCGAAACTGTGCATGGGCGCACAATATGCGACGTTTGCTAGCTTTGCTTTGTTGATGAAGTTGTTGGTCTTTCCTTTGGATGCTGGCAATCCAATCCACCACAAAAAGCCAAGAGTTTAGATGTAGCTTGACCCAAAAAATACATTTGAATTGAGAGCTGCGTGTTTAGCTTTAGAGCGTTGGTATCAAATCCATAGGTAAACTGCGATTATCGCTTGACACGGCAATTTAGACAAGTAGTTGCACCAAACGGTGTAAGCTTTACACAAGTTGAGTTTGCAGGTATATCGTATTAGCAAATCGCGTTTTGAAGCCTGACATCAAACGGGCCCAAGCTGACTGACACGGGCCAAGCAAGTTTGCCGCACTACCTGGCTCCAGAAATCATCCGGTATAATATAGTATGTTCAAATCAGTCCCATTCAAAGGAATCAGCAAGATCCACATTTCCAGATGTGCTTCTGTTTGTATCAACAGAAGGACACCGGACACCTTGTCGTCGTTTTCAACACAGCAAAGAATGGAAGAGAAACGGATCTGATCGATATCACGGATCTTTTTGGCCGGATTCCACCGGGTTCTTCCACGAAACATGTTCTCTTCCAGAAAGGAAACGATGAACGTTCCAGAGCCAAAAAAGATTCCTCAAATGGGCGACCATATAAAGCAAAGGAAGCGTTGGCAAGGCATTTTTTACATGTCTAACGTTGTGTTACGTGTGAACTGGGTTTTGTAATGGGAGTTTGCATTTTGCTCCCTTCTGCCTGGCCAAAATGACAAGTGGCTGGCCGCGTGTTCTTTGATCCAAGATATCTTTTGATGTTTGCATTGCTTTGGCATTCAGCCTTATCTTTTGTTGAGTTAGAACAACCGCCATTATGAGCAGAAAAGAGACATGCAAAGTTTGTCATGTAAAGTTAAGCCGTATAGAACAGCCAGTTGCCATGGTGAGGTATACGGTATATTACCGTCTGATCAGTTGGACCAACGAACGTGATCAGTTCGTCAGCACTGAGGTGGCACGTCCCGGCGTTGAGCAGCAGATTCCTTGTCGCAGCAGCACAGCTGGGTGTCAAGATGCCACGGCAGCTGCTGATGGCGCTGATCAATAAAGGAGGAGCTTTGCCGACCTCATTGGTTTCTTGGCAGTTCCTCTGGAGACCCGCGGAATGAACCCAGTTCCCGAGTAGGTTTCTTTTTTTCCGTACAACACGGATGCCGAGAACAGGAAGCTGGGCTAGGCAGGGTCTAGAGAAATACTACTAAGTTGCTCACCAAGTGTAGTTGCTTTTCCATGTTCATGGTGTGTAGTCAAAGATGATCAAAAATGGTGAGGTTGTGAAATCAGCAGATGATCAAGAGGGTTGATGAAATGTCGAGTCTATGGTGGTTTGAAAAATCATGAAAAATAACAATAAAACAACTGTTTGTCTTTGGAAGGGTTAAATTGTTTTGCACAGCCTGTTGAAGCACCTCGGTGCACGAAACACAAGTTACACACCTGGTGAAGATGGTACATGTCAAAACATATGCCGGTTTGCCGGTCAAAACAAAAAAAGTATGCCTCGAGGGCAAAGGTCATCGATTCACCGAGGCCGCGGAGGTCCACGAGGCCTTTCAACGTGTGAAGTTGCTCAAGGTCCACCTACACGACGCGGCGCAGCTGAAGGACGTGGCGAAAGCACTGCAACTGGCGAGGAACCTCACCACCTTGAGAGTGCCAGGGATGAACAGTTGGAGGGTGCTTGTGTTCATTTGAGTCGAAAAAAGAAACCCGGGAATATGTATTAAGTAAGGAATGTTCCCAGAGGTTCAGAAATCGCTTGGCCACCGCTTGGTATTCTGGTGTTTAAAGTGGGTATGTTACCTCGTCGCGCTAGCAAAACGCAGGGTTGCGCAAGGTTCGCGCTAGGTTTGGCGCTAGGATCAAGTACTTAGGTAACTTAGAAAAAAATAACAAACAAGAGCTGATTGTAACGGTCACTCATTGGTGCACATACACACACCCGCACAGGCACAAGAGCAGCAACTGTTTGAAAGGCAGCGCGCGCTGAAAAAGGCAGCAACTGTTTGAAAGGGAGTAACTGTTTGAGAGACGAGAAAGCGAGTTCTTGATCACAGACGTTTGGTGGCCTCATGCACTGGCAGGGAAGCGCGCTAGATCCGCGCTAGACCCGCGCTAGATCCGCGCTAGACCCCTTTGCAACTTTGACCACTTGTCCAAGTGCTTTCTAGGGTGTATAGTCTTGGCAATTTGTTTCTGTGTGCAAGAGGATGGCTACTTTCAGCTTCACATTTGGAACCATTGGACTCTGTAAGTAAGAACGCGGCTGTTAAAAGGGCATACACAACATACAACCATATACATGAGCGCATGTTGGGTACATGCTGGCCACCGCTTGGAATTCCTGTGATTTCAACCTAGGATAATGATTTTAGAACGGATTTTAGAACGGGGTTAGCAACTGGCGAGGAACCTCACCACCTTGAGAGTGGCAGGGATGAACAGTTGGAGGGTGCTTGTGTTCATTTGTGTTCAGTGTTGTGTTGTTGCATTTTTTGGTGATATATGATGTTTGTTGTTTTCTATATATATTTTTTGCTGTGTTTCTTGAGCTACCCCACCGCCGAAGCCAATATCCTGGCACTGTTTTGAGCATCACTTCTGCAGAGGGACCCTTTAGAGACTCTGGAAACCTGGGTGGTGGGAGAGCCGGTTTGGCTGTAAGGCATGTGACCAGCTTTGGGGCTAGATGGAGATTTTGAGGCTTCGTCAAAACCTCATCGGGTGCTTGTGAATAACATGGGAATAGAAAGGGTTCAATCACCTTCAAAAACGTGTCACAGATGCTGGCACCCTTTCCAGGTTCAACGTCGTTTGTGCGGTACAAAGATCACCGCATGTCCCGCGTTCTTTTTGGTGATGATCGACTTCTGGACTCAGAAAGCTGTACAAGTTCATCGAACGGAGTTTTCTGGAAATATTTGGCCAACGGGCCAATGGGTCGTCACAGTCAGCTGGTCGCTAGCACCTGGGATATCAAGTTGTGGGCTTGGCACCCAAGCAATCATGCGAACGAAGCACCAAGCAGGAAGGCTCCATATCCATTTGTCTGAGAGCATTTTTGTAGTGACTAATTATTTTTCTCAATCCTCCAGCCACTCGGTGTGTTTATGAAAAGTCACAGATAAAGAACCCTGGATCATCCTAGAACGATAGAATTCTACAACTATACATTGTGTGATTTACGATTGAATAGAATGTACAACTCCAACTGAACTGCAGATTTGCAGGTGTCCACACATGTACAGCAACACATTGTACTCCAAGTTCATTACCACTCCGTACCACCGGTAATCCGTGGTTCTGCCGCGACCTGTTCGATTCTGCCGAGACACACTGAGGTCACCTGCACGGCATGTGGGAAATGGGCCACTGACCCTGGGCATCACTGGCCAGAGCTTTGTCCTCATCTGGGGCGCTTGAAGAGTTTGACCGTGGCCTGGAGGATTCATTCACCCAACCAATTGGGTGAGTACAGGCTTTCCTATTGAAGGAAGAAGACTCGAAACGTCCAGAGAAATTTCAACTACTGAATTGCCCTCGGTATGTGTGATGCTGAGCGCCTTCCGACGTCGAAGCCAGAAGTTCAGTGCAAGGCGCTCAGCTCGCTCAGCTCGCGGTAGGCGACCGTCGTCCAAGGTCTCGGGTTTCTCCCTTCACGAGGAGATTTGCCTGGGAGAAAGCTTGAAGACATTGGATTTGGGAAGTAACCAGATCTCAACGTTGCCCACAGAGTCTTGGCTTTGCAGCTGTCGTTTGTGTTTGGGGGAAGATGAAGGATTTTCATAGGAGCAGGAGTCTTGGGTTGACTTGCCCAAGATCTCACAGCCCGAAGAGGGAATCGTTTCATACATTGTATTTCCAGGTGGTGTCAATACCCACAAGCCAAGGGAAAGTGCGATCAATCCACAGCCAACCTCTTTTGCACTGGGATGCTAAAGTCCAGCCGAGACTACAATTGCAACATGTTGGATTGAACAATCTCATCCTGAAAGCCATCAAGAGTTTCTCTCGCATTTGCAGGAGATGTTGTGTCCCGTTGCTATCCAGTAATAACCCTTTTGAGGCGGCCCGAAAGCTTCATCGTCCCCGAAGCACCAAAATATGATTGGCAAAGACGATCATGTTTGTTGGCTATAACTCTTGGAGTTGGCTGTTGCTTCCTTGGAATCCCAGAATACTATACTGCATATTGCTTGATCCCAAGCTACTATCTACCAGACACACGTTGCTTTTGATGCGCGAACACGCCTCCAAAACCTTCAGCAACCTCACAAAAGCTGGAAAACATAACTGAGCTCCCAGATCAGTCTTTCATTCAGGTCCTGCACAGGCTGTGTTTGATTCTGAGGACATCTTCCAGAACCTGACCTCTTTGACTCAGCTCAGGTGCCGTAATTGCACTTGGCGACACAAAAATATGAAATGCATTGAAATGCCACTGATGCGTGTCGAAAGACTTGGGAACGAAGGAACAGGTTTTTGACGCTATGTGAGGGGTCGTCATTCCGAGCTGTTACCAGCAACAGCTTTTCCGATTCCTTTTGCTGTTCAGAACAGTTGCCAAGCTTCAGTCATTGCGGCACTGGACAGATTGAGTGCTACGGGTATACCTGCACACAACTGGAGTTCGAACCAGAGATTGAAAGAAAAATGGAGCACAAAAGGGTCACATCGTAGGTGACCTTCTTCCAGTAGTAGGCTGTCCTTAGCCTTTTGAAGTATTGCACTTTTGGGTGTTCGAAAGTCTACTTCCCCTCTTACAGAGAACCCACACCCACCCACCAAGGCCATAGAAATTAGCAAGACCCGCCTCAGAGCCACTGAGGCTGACCAACAACCAGCTATCCACGCTACCTGCGTCCATTTTCAGTCAGTTGCCACTTCTTCAGGAAGGGATCGAAGGTAAAATCGGGGTCAATGGGCCGTGGTCATCATTAGATGCTTGGAGCCGTCACAAGCAAACCTGACATCAATCATATGGAAAACTGAAGCATGAACACTGCAACATGTTGGGTCCCCCCCCAGCCCCAGTTTGCGGAAATGATGGATTCAGAAATGGTGGACCTGTTTGACCTAGTTGACAAAAAGAAAAGTCAAAACAGGTGTCTATTAGAAGATGGACATCTTTCAGCCCCTTGACCATGTTCCTTTTGGAAGCCGCTTTGCGGCTCCCCGTTGGGTCTATCTATCATGGTCCCAATATGTCCCAATCCTATTCCTGGGAATACGATCACTCCGTATTCTTTGCCTAGCACGTACTAATCACTATCCACCGACCGCTGCTGGGAGTAGGATAGGCCCAGGGTTCCACGATTGAGCCTTTTGGGTGAACATGGGTCAGATCCAATTATATAGGCAGAGGCCTTTAGCTTTAGAGTCTAGAGTGTGCACCTTTGTAAATGTGGAACGGGATTTCTTCTTGCATTAGGTACTTGGATATATTGAAGAAACTTGGAGACAGTCTCCAAGTTGGAGACTCACAAGTAGAGGGGTAGTTTATAGTAGCTTTCATGGTGAGTGGTACATGATTGCCAAAAATTAGTTATTGCCTATCCTTTGGCAAACATGCATGGATAGGTATGGTCAATTCATCACATCGGGATCCTCCCACTGACTTTCCTGGGTCGGGCAGGACTGCAGACCTCACAAATCCCGGACTGTCACAGCAGGAGTGTCACTTGGATAAGAACAAACTGACATTTTTGCCGGAGACGATCTTCAGCAACCAGACCTTGCTGGAGGACTTAAATCTGCAGAACAACCAGCTGTCTCTTGGCAAGATGAGTGACCAATCGAGTGTCCGTGCTCCATGAAACCAGATTGACCTCGAATGTATTGAAAGCTTTGCTTCTAACACTTTGATGACCTTCAAGCTGATGCCAGCTGCGGAACCCCAAACGTGTCGGGGAGTTTGCCATTGGCCAAACCAGACATTTGCAAGAGTTCTTGTACCTTGCGATCAGTTCGAGTCGATCCGTATGAGGTCTTCGTTGCCGGAGAGGGTGTTTGACACTTGGCATCACAGAAATCCACGAGTTGTTGGTGAAATACACTTCAGGTGATCTTCAAGTCAGGCTTGAGGAAGAAGGGCGCCACGATTTCTTTAAGTATTAAGTCTGGGGTTTGAAGGGTGGGGTCCCAACTCACTTTTAACTCGAATCCCAGGTGTGCTAGGGGCCCAATGCTGGGAGATCATTGAGAACGCTGCCCTGTACTCATAAGACTCAAGCAACCATCAGCAGCAGATCTTCTCGCTTCTTCGATAAGGGACACCCCATCATATAGAATGTTGATGAATCCAGCATCAAAGGGTCCAGTTAATTCAAGCTCGAATAGTTTGTGGCTGCTAGATCGCTTGCTTGGTATTTCTTCTGCAGTGCCCTGAAACAACTACACTTTGTCTCCGCACGCTTTCAGGAGATGCTGAACTCATTGCGCGTGCTGTATCTGGGAAAGAACCATCTCTCCAGCTTACCACCCAAGATCTTCAAACATCTCCAGAACTTGAATAAACTCCACCTCCAGGAGAGCGACATGCGAACCGCGATGCGAATCGAGGGATTCGTGGACTCGGTGTTGCAGCTCAAAAAGCAGATGCCAGCAGCTGGGTATCGTTTTCCTGGTCATATGAAGGGTAGGTCACTGAGTAGGTCACAGTTGCCCACTACTGAGGGAAGAACAGGGAGGATTCCATCATTTTGAATCATGGTATGCCATACTGAGCTGCATCAGAAGGCAGTTCAGGTTCAGCGAAAATTCCTGGAATGAGGTGGAATGAGGTGACGGATGTCGATGGAACAGCTCTCCTTTTCTCTCAAAAGATACTGTGCCATGGCTAGTATGGAACGGAACATTGACTAAATGTCCTGACTAAAACCTGTTCAGGTCATCACGCAAAGTCTTTCTGTACCCTACATATCCCTACATACCTTTGCCAACCTAGACACGGAGTGACTACTTTTCTAAAGAAAAGATGTATTTTCACTTCACGTGACTTCCACATTCGTGTGAGTTTGGACATGTACCCCTTTTGCTTTGGCGCTGTTCCTTCAGACTTTTTTCATAACATCGCGGGAATGAGACGAGCAGAATATTCATTGGTTTGGAAGTGGATTCAGTTTTGCTTAGGCACGAGTGTGCTTCTTGGATTGCTCATGAGTTGGCATTTGTGTTTCCCCGAACGTTCAATATCTCTGAGTTTTTTCTTTTCAAAGTGTTGTTGGGAGTGAACAGGAGAATCAGCTGCGCTCTTTGCCCATGCTGAAAGACCTCTCAAATCTGCACGAAGTGGATATTCATGAGAATCCCTTGCCGCAGGCAGAGGTCACTTGGACCAAGGGGCCAAAGGTGAATTTAAAGATTCCCAGTCTTGTTGTCCCAAGCGGCACAGGATTTGTCGGGATCCCAGTTTGTAAGCCGCTTGCGCCGGTGATGTTCATGTCTTTGTGGTGCCAAGGGCCACCTGTACCGCAACGGTTGCACCATGTTGCACCAAAAGGTTCAATCTTTGTCGGTCAGAAGGTCGCTTAGGGTGCCTGACACGGAAGACTGTTGGTTTCTATTACGCGGACAGCCAGCTTTCAGTGAACCCGAATCCCTCCACAATCTTTGCTCAGTCAGCTAGAATATATCGGCTTTCGCTCGGGTAGTGTATCCAGCACCGGGAAAGTCGGAAGAATTGGACCATGAATGGCGTTCAACAAACAGTACGAGCGCTCAAACAACCTCTCTCTTCGTTCAAGTCTTTTGCAAACATTCCCTGCCTTTCAACTTTGGAAAAGAACTACACGCTCGAAAGTGTGAACGTCAAGTCGGTTCCAATAAGTTTTGACACACTGCGATGTGCAGAGAGGCTTTCGTCTCAGACCGGAGATGAGATTTCGGCATCCACGAGCTTTCATGTCCCAATATGGCAAAGCCGCAAACACCGGATAGGGAGTTGTCTTGGAGCTTCACACCTATAAATAGCTCCCTTTTCGCAGCATGCAAGCAGATCCTTGTGGACCTCAGGTTAGAGACGCATAGTGACTCTACGGCAAACTCAATCATGCGGATCCATGTCCAGATGCCCACTTCAACCGAAGAACAGCTTTGCGGAGCCAGCGAAAGCAAAGAAAAAATCTGATCACGTTCTTCTGTGCCGATCACAAATCGTTCTCATCCCTTGCGAGGTCGAGAAGCTGAAGAAGGAGCTTCCGTCCTTGAGGTTTCTTCGATCTGAGTATTCTGAGTGAAGCAGCCGGTTCCGACTGATCCCACCCGGACGGTGCGTCTGTACGGTGTGAGGCTGTGTATTTTATGACATGCTTTGATAAACATATATATAATATACGTGTGTGTGTGTGCATTATGAGATTCTGGTGATCAGGTGGTGTTTTGGTGCTTTCTATTAGCAGCCAACATCAGGGAGTTATTGCTATCCTAGTCTATCAGCAAATTACGGATTGAAGTCAGGATTGCTCAATGGAATCTTCCCTTTTCGCAGGTGTGTAGACTCTACACTGGCTTCCCGTTCCTTCTTTGGATGGTATACACACAGGATTTGCTGGTGAACATCCTTGATGAGTGCCAGATGTACTGGATGTACCTGAAAAAACATTACCTCCAACAAAAAGCAGCAGAAGGAGTTCTTAATATTTCAGACTCCTGGCAATTCAGTTGTAGTTTGGTCCTGAGAATGGAAAATAGCAAGCGTTCTCCAAAGAGGTTGTTTGGAGATATTTTGATCATTTGGCTTTGTCTCCAACTGGGTGACACCTGATGATCTGGGAGACGCCTTGGTTCCTATTTCCTTTCACTTGATCACTGGTGTTTGGGAGTCTCCTGGTGAAGAACACCCAAAGTCAACTCAACAGTCGACAGATACGTACCGTTCAGAATGATCCCTTTCCCTCGAGGGATTTGCAAGATCCGTGCAATCGAGTGAATGAAAAAGCAGCGAAAAGGATTGCGCGCTTTCTCGGATCGCGCGCAAGCGCGGGGGGTCCAGGAGAAGGATCGCCACAGAGAGCCCCATCCGGAAGGTCATCCACGATTGCGGGACATGCGATGCTTAGGAGTTTAGGAGATGCTTTTTGGAGTACACAAGAGTAATTTTGGAGTTTTAAAGAAGTCATGGCGAGTCTTTGTTCAGCGCACTATGCAACGTGAATTTCAACAAGGTTTAAGTTGCAAAAGCAGATCGAGGAATCCAGAATCAAAACAACATCTGAAAGTCGTCAAACTTGAAATTGCCTCGGTTTTGGCATGGCCAATCCATGCCAATCCTTTAGTCACTCTCTGAAGGGGGGTGTTGGTTGTTGATACATCAATATCATGTTTTACTGGCCTCTGAAGCTCACCCTGGGCTTCTAAGAAGCACCCTCATAACATTTGGGTCCCCGACAAGCTCGGTGACCCCCCCAAACGAGGTGGTATGATCTACAGTGTAGTCTAGAGGCAGTTGACACCTTTGCAGCCTCTCAGGTCAGTTGCCAAATCGCGATGAGTGTGTGCTCACGAGCCAAAAGAGGCGAAAACCGGCGGAGTGCATGGGGCTGTCCTCCTTCTTTCAAAAAGAGGGCACCTCGCAAAATACCTCTAGGAGAGATTCGGAGAGATGAAGCAAATGAAGTGGGTAAAATAGGAGGATGTAAGTTTGGGTACACTACGAGAATTGGTACGACATAGTTAGCATAGCTTAAAGATGTTAAACAGGATCATGGGTTCCATCATGATTCTCCCCAACAAACTCTGTCACTCACCGGCAACACCCAAGAATCCGGCTTGTCGGTGAATATCATTGATCGGATCAGGATCGCAAAGTTCCTACATTTTGGATCTATTTCGGGGTTGAGGAAGACACAACGGACGCACAGAGCGGTCAAATTACGAGATCAACTGGGGACAGCGTGCAAAGACGTGCAAAGTGTTGAATAACAAAAGGCGACAGGGGCGTTCGGCGCGCCGTGAGATGCGAAAAGAGTCACATGCAAAGTGAAAAGACGCACAATGTCCTGTTACCCTTCTCCAGAGCTGTGTCCTTACACGTTAACTCCATTTAGCAGGAAAAAACACTGATGCAACAAAACCCCCAAAAGGTAGCACCAAAGGAGTCCCATTTCTTCCAATGGGTCTCAGTCCCCAACCACCTTTGACTCGGTCGCTCATCTTCGGCCTCATGCTCTACTGGTTGACTGGCGCATCCGACCATGGCGGTGCTCGAGATGCTCTTGGGAGACTGGCGCGAGGAAAGTTCCGCGAACCAGATCCAGGTGCCAACGTCATGGCGGTGGGGAGAGGACCGGCTGATTGGGTGCACAGCCGATGCTCGTTGAGCCTTTCAGGTTTGGTTTTAAGACCTTCACCTTTTTTCCAGCAAGAAGGGAGTTCAAAGTTCTTATGACACATCACAAGGAACAGAGGGCAAGGCAGTGTGTTACAGAGAGTGTGTATGTGTGCGCGTGTACGTGTGCCAAAAAAACAGGGAGCACATGGATCAATTTGGATTTACTGCTAGATCCTGGTTTGAATTGGATCACATGAATGATGGCTCATGTAGCAGCTATTTTTGAATATAGTGAAGTTGTTTTAAGAGACTTTGGGTGTGACCCCATCCTGAGGATTGAAGCCATTTTGGGGATGGTTCACCAACACCATGCGAGCTACATCCTCTCAACGTCAATGGCATATTGACTTTCAAAGGTTGGATCAAGAGGCCGGAAAAAAGAGGCCCGGAAGGATGGGTATTGATCACCTCAGCATCAGGTGACTCACAATCTGGAGAAAGGCTACCAGGTGCTGGTGCAACGTCCAGGCGCTGAGCGGCGAGTTTTGGACTTCACATTTGGATGATTGCACATGTTGTTTAGAACTTTGGATTCTTGTCATATACATGCTCCCTTGTATTCGATGCTTGTGGGATTTGGATCGTTTAGGATTGATTTGGGAAGAACATTAGGACCATCCTATTGTTCCGCCAAGCATGCTGACCACTCTATGCTCCAATGCCCCTTCAGAGAAACACATCCGTTTTTCATCTTCGCTCACATCCCAAGAGCGGCTGATGCGCTTGCTGTGATTTGTGAAAGCATGGCACCCCTCAGCTTGGGTGATTTCAGGGAAGGTATCATCATGGTTACGTGGATGGCATGGCCTGAAAGGATTTTCACCTTTTCCTCTACATACATGATTCATCATCTGGTTTTCCACTTCCATGATTCCAGGAAGTGCAACATGTTCGTTGGATGCATTGATGCCGTGGCCACCAGGCCGCCGTCGTGGTAGGCGCTTCGCGGCCTATGTGGGCAGCGATGGCCACTTGACTTGGAGAGAACGCTCTTTTTACTACCTCTTGCAGAAATTCAGGGTGGGTCAATGGCAATTACTGCTAGCGCCTGGGTTTGGGATTCAACATGATTTAAATGATAATATACTTATAAAAGCTATAGATATAAATATATATATATATATATATCATACATTGCAAACCCATGACTGCCCATTGTAAGAGCGCTATGGAGCAGCAAGAAGGGTTGTTGAACATACTGTGGTGGGATTCTGCAGCATTATTGTTTCTGGTAGACATGGGTCGTTAAGTCAATCAGGTTCCAGTGAGGTGTATTGGTCTGCAGATCCCATTGCCCATCCATCCCAAATCGCGACAACTACAGACGGACAGATCGAGTTTATATACACTTGATGGAGAAACTCTTTTACCACCAGATTTGGTCCCAGTGCTTGGCCTATCTTGGCCATCCAGCATGGCGGATACAAACCAGCATGGCCTGGCCGCACATGCTTTCTTGAGTGATCCCGTGATACGAACAAAACCTAATTGAAATACTTTGGGCAGTTCGGCTTTTTTACCCAGAGTGATGTAAAGCAAATGAAAGGACCTTGTAGGAGCAACCTACAGATGTTCTGCTCCGGAGGCTCCCGAGGTCATTTGGTTTGAGTCCTTCATTTCCGTTGGGTCCTGCCCCTGTGCCTAGGGAATGTGTACCGTGGCTGCTACGTCTTGGATCCCACGGAGTCGACGAGAGATCGGCAGCTCTGGAGGCTGAGAAGCGACCTGAACGAGGCCGGCTTGGACCAAAACCTTTCACAGGCTGGTGGCAAATCTGTCACCTGCCAGAGCAAAAGGCGCCCCGATGCCATAGCCTCGTGCGACACTGCGGATCTGCTATGGTCTCTGTAATTTGCAGCGTGGGCAATCATTCAGTTTGTATCAGATAGATCTTCCAGTCTTTCGCTTGATAGTGTTCAGCTCAAACTGGATTTGCCAGTAGGGCACAACTCCTACTGTAAATTGTGCTGAGGTTGAAGCGATAGTTTATTTACTGTGGCAGGTCGGAGTCGCACTTTTCTTGAGCCAACATCGGTTTGCGCGTGTCCCCAAAAGCATGGAATCCCGAAACTTGGTACACGTCTAATTTGGGCATCCTTTCACTGAAAACGTGAGGAGTGGTCGATCCACACTCCCCATGGCCGTCGTACGGCCACCAGTTCAAAAACGACGGGCCTTCAACCCTCGTAAACTTCATAGCTGCCGTCGGAGTCTTCTCGGATTCGCGAACTCACAGCAAGCCCTCCGCAGGGCCTCCAAGGCCCACTCGATCCTCTCTGGGACACCGGCAGCTGTGAGGCAATGCCCATCCGGCTCGGTACTCTTCCCCACGGGCTGGAGCCCATTGTGGGCAACGCGCCATCCCTGACTCAGCAAGTCCTCCAAGGAGACACGCCAGTCCTCTCTCCTCGTCGCTGAAGGTCATGCCATCATGGCCTCTTGGCCCCTGAGACCAATATGTCGCAGGGTCGTAGCCCACGGCGTTCCTGACCTCGCTCCACTCCCAATCTTTGCTCGCCCTCTCGCCAGTGCCGTGGAGGTCCCAGTCGCTGAACTCTCCATTGAGGCCGTCGTTGGGCTTCTCCTCACATAGCGAGCATCCCGGAGCAATTCCTCCCTCAGTCATCCGCGGCGGTCCGGTAGTTATATATAGGGTGCTATCCACAAGGACGATGACGTCCTGCTCCCTTGTTCGGCTGGTGTAGAAGAGCTCGATTGGGAGAACAACGTTCCCGAGACCGTGCCCTGCGGGATCTCCTGGAAGAACGAGTAGCCAACCCAGTCGTCCCCCCCTTCAAACACCGGCCCAGTGGCACTTCGCCAATCCTCCTCTCGGATCATCCGATTTGCATGGCACCAAATCACCGTTGCTCGGCGGTTCTGAATCTGGCTGCCATCGAAGGGTGTCAATCTGTGAATGGGATGAAATGGCCGTTTCCTCGGCTTGGCATGATCTCTCACCCACCAACCATCCACCAGCCGTCCCCATCGGGGAAAACGTCCTCCATGTCCAGGGAGGCCCTTGGCCCGAAACCGGACCATGGCGCACACCGACCCTCAGAGCTGGTGCACAACGGTGGGTTCATCTTCCCTCACCCGGACGTGCCACACTCCATGCCCCCCACTGACCCCTTCTCGTATAGGGCGTGTGCTCGAAGTCGTAGGTGTCTCGTCCTCCATGCATGGGCCGTCCGGCGCCAAGATACGGAGCCCTGCTTGGTTGTCTCCTCCAAGCCGGCATTTTCACTGACCGCCTCACTCTCGGTGCCCTCGAAGACGTTGCTGAGGGCAGCCAGCACAAAGGCAGTTTTCACGTCCGTCGTAGCCACCTCCCAGTTCATCTCCTCCTTGAAGATCCCGAGCCACCCATCCAGAGCTCATCAACGGGCTGGGTCCCAGGCAGCAGAACCATTTGCTTGAAGGGGTTCGTCAACTTCCCTGTCTGATGATGCCATCTCTTGGCTTTCGCCATCACCTTGGAACCAAACATTAACATAGGTTTGGACGAACCCACCCCCAGCCGCTGCAACTGCAATCTAAACCTCTGGTGTGTCGCGCGCCGCAAAGCGCAAGGCCAAAGTGCCTGATCCACCCGACCAGCGTGCAGCAGCAGCCGCGTTCTCCTCTTCAGTTGGTGGAGTTCGCCGTTCACCTGGCTGTCATCGCCAGGTGTCATGGTATGCACCATCTCTCTGGCCTGCAC